GAGCGCGCCCGCGGCCCCGGAGTCCCGGAGAATGGGGCGCGGCGGCCAGACCCGTAGCGGTAGCGTAACAAAGAGAAAAGTCTTGCTTTTCCAGGTTCGCTCTCATGTATTTGAGTAATTTCTAAAAGGGGTCTTGAACTTCCATTCTGAACGCCCTGGCCGATTGTTGCGGGTTAATTCTGGATCGGGTTTTAAATGTGTTAGGCATATTTGTGCCTCTCAGAATATGTAAACGTGAAATTCGCCAGATAACTTTGGCGAGAAGGGGCGCAGGGAAGGGCTGTTTGGTAACGCCTGGGTTTGTTTTTGGAGTAGAATGTTTACTCTGGAAAAAAGAATTCTTGGATCTGCAAATTCCGACTTGTGATTTCTGCAAATCCTGATTAGATTGGCCGCTCTTGGCATGCTCGTCCTGTTTTTTGCTGAGAAAGCCTTATAATAATAGCGTATGCTCACAAACACATTCAAAACATTCGTGTGCTCCAAGTGACAACTGCTGTATGCCTAATAGTTGCTGACAGTTTATTTATTTTTTTAAGTTTGGGATACGACAGTAATTTTACTGTCAGTATAGTCCGTTTTGTTTCTAGGGCATTTTATTCTGGAGCATCTACGCGCAGATGTTTTCTCTGTGAGAAACATGGGTTTAATGCTATAGCTATAGATATTACTCTAAAAATGTCACATACTTTCTCCTTTTAGTGCTTATTTTATTTTAAAGCAACGTTGGCAAAATTACACGTGGTGAGGACCTTAATAGGAAGGGGAATCGCTATAAGATTGAGAAGTAAAGTGTATTTGAGAAACTTTTGGAAAGGGATGTAGAGAGGGAAAATTAAAATGAATTCACAAATAGTTCAGACTGCCTTTTGTAAACTTGTACTGAAGCAGAATCTAGTATGTATTCGTTTACTTACCACAAAACGGAAAGGTTTTGTAGAGAAACAAAATCATCGTTTTCCTTTAATAGCTATTTATAAATTATATTTACTTTAGTAAATAATTCCAGACCCAATCACTTTCATATTATTGCATATTATTTTATACCTGAAACAGCCCTCCCCAAAGAACTCTTAAATTTGTACTCATCTTGGCTTTATTATCTTCAGACATTGATAATTGTATTACATCATTTGACAACAAATACTGCATATTACTGAAAATTAGGATGTGTAGATCATTGATAAATTTGTAAATTATTAAACAAAATCATTATTTTAACATAGTGGGTTTTATATAAATAAGCAAAAAGCAAGCCATTCTTATGGATAGATCTTGGGGGGATGCACCATATACACACAGACTGCAACTTTTTCAATTTCATCTACTAAAATAATTTGACTTTTCCTTTATCCCTGATGCAGTAATACATTTCAAGTCTCAGGGACAATTGAACGTTTTACTGAGTTTGCTTAATCAGAGCTTAAGTTAATAATTAAGTTATACAGTGTAGTATCTATTGCTTTCAAGGTGTAGTTGTACGTAGTGAAAAGACTACCATATTTGAATGGCACCTAATACAAATATTTATCTTTCCTCTACACATATGCAATATCTTGTCTGTTCGTCTACACTACTTAATCCGCCCGGTTTCCAGTTACCATAATTTTTATATAAAATTGAAACCCACCATCTGATCTCATGAAAGGGTGTTTAGTATGCATATTTATAATCCTTAAACATTTACACTCTTGGTTTATCAATTTTCTGGTTAAAAGCTTATTATTTAAAGTTGTCATTTGCTAATTTTTTTCCATCTTGCTTTACTTATTTATTTAGTTTATACCCCGAAACATCAAAGAGCATTGAAAACTACTGGAAGTGGAAACCATATCTTTTTAATATTTATTTTCTGTTTCCCTCCATAGTATGGTGCTTTTACCTACGGAAGGCACGCAGCAAATGCTGTTAATTAACACAGTGCTTTAGGTAGTTTCAGCTTTGTTTTTTTCTTCTGGCCTGCCCCAACCCTTGTTTTTAATATTTTGATTTTCCTGGCTATGGGGAATAACCAGAGCTCAAAACAAACAAAAAACTAGCCAGATAAAACCGTGGTGGAGTCCTTATTAGAGATACAGCTCTGTATGTAATTATAGCATGGTTGTAATCTCCTTAAAGACAGCGACGGCTTAGGGATTCGTCTTAGATTTCTCACGATGCTCATTACGTTGTCTTGTACCCAGAGACGCAACACACATTTGTGGAATGGAATTTCAAAATGTTAAGTTTGGCAAAGCTGAGGGTAGTAGCCGAACCCTTTTCTCCAGCTCTGCCATTCCCTAACGCTGTGTGCCCCATCACCTCTGGGCCTGAGACGCAGTCAGGAAAGCAGGACCCAGCAAAGGACTGGAGTGTGGAATTTGGGATCGATTCCCAGCTTAGCCCGTCCTAGCGTGAAACTGCGAAAGCCGCTTCTCTTCCTGAAGCCTTGGTTCTGCCTGCTAGATGAGAGGGTCGGGAGCAGATCCTGCCTCTCCGCGCGGTCCGGGGCCGGAGCTCAGCGTAGCCAGCTATAGCTGGGTCTCGCTAAGCGATTCATCCCCAACAGGCAACCTCTGCGCAGAAGAAGGTGGGGAACCGTCTCAGGACCCTGGAAATATCCGGGATTTTGTAGACTCGTCTAGGGGGAAAAAACTAATCCAGCTGATACAAAAATTCCCAGCTGGTGCTCGCTCCCATTTGCCTCAGCCCAGAAGTTACCATCAACAGGTCTGGTTAAAAACTCGGTTAGAGCCTGGCGTGGTGGCGCGCACCTGTCGTCCCAGCTACCCGGGAGGCTGAGGCGGGAGGATCGCTTGAGCCCAGGTGTTCGAGGCTGCGGTGAGCTACGATGGCGCAACTGCAGTCCAGCCTGGGTGGCATAGCAAGACTTCGCTCTATAAAACACGTTGTAAGGAGCGTATTTCGAGGTCCTGTGGCTCCAAAGCGGGTATGACAACCTCTCCACCGCCAGTAGGGCTCGCGCTGGTCCCTTTAAATGTTTCCTTCGGGAGCAGAGGGACCGGTCCTTTTAGAGCGCGTCCGTCCAGAAACGCGGCTGCAGAAAGAGGGTTCCGGAGCCTCCGAGTCTACTGGTTGTCCTGGCAACGCCGCTTGCTCTTCCCAAGGGGAGGACGCGGAAGAAGCCGGGGCCTGATTGCTCCAAGGCCCCGTGGGCTTCCTGCGTTTGTTGCTCCCCCAGCCGCTCATTAACTCAGGATGGCGTGGAAGGCCTCGCCCGCCTCCCCTTCTGGGCCGCGGCTCCGCTTAGGTGAAGGCCTGTTTGGGCGTCCCCACCCTGGAGAGGGGCCGGGGTCTGGATTTTCAGAACTGCCACTCTTCCAGTGGTAAATGAATGGATAACGAGCATTTGTAGGGTATTTTATGATGTTTATCAGTAAATCAATTTGATGACGTGAATACTTCCACAAGCGCTTGTTAGGCACCTCACCGCGTCTGAACCACACACCTGCCATTCTTAGTGGGGATTATTCCTCCCATTTGCCTTCAGGGTTAATTTTCTAAAGGGATTGGGACTGGAACCTAGCTCTTTTGGGGGTATTTTGCACTTTTTTCACTTAAGAACTAAAGAACTCTGACATTTGGAGTACTACAACCTGAAAGAGTTACCTATGAAGAAACACCACCTTATCCAAAATAGGAAGAGGACCACGAATACTAACATTTGGGATTATAGTAGTGCTGGCCATTATCTCATTTAATCCTGACGATGGCCTAGCTTGCTCTCCCTATTTGTAGGATACAGTGAAGGGTGGAGTCTGACCCTGAGCCCAACACAACTCTGAGATAAAATTCCACCCTGCCTCCCGGGTCCTGTTAGTGCCTCCTTTTTCCAGCGGGTGGGGACAGCTTATTATTTGGACACAGCTTGACTGGCTTTTCTTTCTATTAAGCAAAGCCCAGCGTTACCTTTGCTTAAGTAACGGCGTTCCTCTTTCCCCAGCGCTGGCGTCGATGCTCACTTCCTCCGGCCATTGGAGACTCCGTTGCTTTTTAATGGCGGCAGCGGCTGCTGGGTGAGCAGCTGGAGGCCGGACAGTGTTCGTCCCATTCGGAGAGGATTGATTTCTCCTGGCGTCACCACCGCTGGGTTGGTGGGGGTAGCTTTTCCCTGTTTGCTCCTCCACTCTTGAAGGAAGAAGAAGATGCCACTGCCATTTGGGTTGAAACTGAAACGCACCCGGCGCTACACGGTGTCTAGCAAGAGCTGTCTGGTTGCCCGGATCCAACTGCTTAATAACGAGTTTGTGGAGTTCACCCTGTCCGTGGAGAGCACTGGCCAGGAAAGCCTCGAGGCCGTGGCCCAGAGGCTGGAGCTGCGGGAGGTAAGCCACCTAAAGACTGCAGGCTGGGCGCGGGTGGCTCACGCCTGTAATCCTAGCACTGAGAGACCGAGGCGGGTGGATCACTTGAGGTCAGGAGTTCGAGACCAGCCTGGCCAACAGGGTGAAACCTCGTCTCTACTAAAAATACAAGGCCGGGCGCGGTGGCTCACGCCTGTAATCCCAGCACTTTGGGAGGCCGAGGCTGGCGAATCACAAGATCAGGAGTTCGAGACCAGCCTGGCTAATATGGTGAAACCCCATCTCTACTAAAAATACAAAAATTAGTGGATGTGGTGGTGGGCACCTGTAGTCCCAGCTACTCGGGAGGCTAAGGCAGGAGAATCACTTGAACCGGGGAGACAGAGGCTACAGTGAGCCGAGATTGTGCCACTGCACTCCAGCCTGGACTACAGAGCAAGACACCAGCTTAAAAAAAAAAAAAAAAAATTAGCTGGGCCTGGTGGTGGGCCCCTGTAATCCCAGCTACTGGAGAGGCTGAGGCAGGAGAATTGCTTGTACCCAGGAGGTGGAGGTTGCAGTGAGCTGAGAACACACCACTGCACTCCAACCTGGGCAACATGAGCGAAACTCTTGTCTCAAAAAAAAAAAAAAAAAAAAAGACACTGCAGGCTTCTCTGTTCAGCATGCTGGCTGTGTGTTCTAGCCCACTGGCCACTCACTGTGTGTCCCTGGCTGGGATGTCTGAGTTGAGCCTGTAGGTTCTCTCCTCGTGAAGCAGGAATAGATTAGAGCAAGAAGTCTTCCCTTGGGGTGCTGTATAATAACTAATGGTTCTTATTTTGAATATGTTTATATTCCCCCCTAAACGTAATCCAGAATCAAATGTGAACACACTCTGGGTTGTTCAAATTTCTATTTTCTAATATACCCCCTATGATATACTAGGTCATCCCTATCTCTAGTACAGTTTACTGACTTCATTCTTTCTTTTTTGTTCATTTTAATTTTTTTAGAGGCAAGGTCTAGCTATGTTGCCCAGGTTGGTTTCAAATTCCTAGGCTCAAGTGATCCTCCCGCAATAGGCATGTGCCACCATGTCCAGCTCCTGACTTCATTCTTTCAACATTCATTGAGTAAACAGAAAATTCATTGACTATATTCTTATAGGTCAGATCAAGGTTCTAGAGACATATTGCCTGAACTCAGTTTGAGTTCTAGTTTCCTTACCATCTGCTTCTATTACCTTGGGCAAGTTATGTGATATCTCTGAGCCCTGGTTCTCCATCTGAAGCATGGGGATGACTGTGACACCTAATTCTCAGAGTAGCATAAGGCCGTAAGCTCTGCTAACTGTTAGAGTACTGATTGGGAGGTTTGCCTAGGAAACCCCTAATCCAGTTGGTAGAAAGTTATGAAGTACTTATGTATCCGTATAATGTCTTAAATTTAAAATGTTATGCAAGGCCTGTGAAGAAAGGTCTCTAATTAAACCTAGGACCCTCCCTACCTTTGGCTGCCTGGTTCTGGGGTAAGGGAAAGTTAGAGAAACTGGTTATTCCACCTAAAAAGTCAGGAATAGATGAACTTTCTCCTGGTGACCATCCAGTCACTTATATGAGAACTCAGTACTGAAGACGCATAAGTGCCAAGCACATACGTACTTGGAAGCTCACCCTGGTGTTGTTGCCAATAAGAAAACAGGCATGATGCATGCTGTGATAAGGGAGGTAGAGGTTGTGCCATAGGCCAGAGGGAGGTGCAGCAAAAGGAAGGCTGCTCAGGGAAGTTGATTCTGAGCTGTGACCTGAGGATGGGGCAAGGGAGTCCTATCAGGGGCTGGAAGAGTTCCAACAAAGAGAACTGCACAGGGCCAAAGACACAGAGGGAGCTGGTCTGCCTGAAGCCTGAAGTGCGTGGAGGAAAGGCTGACTGTAAGGGCAGCAAATGAGGATTTTTTGTTAAAGGATTTGGATTTATCCTGAGCATAGTGGGGAAGTTTAATGAAGGGTGTAAACAGGTGTGGTACATTTGTTTCTGTGAAGAGTGAGCCCTTTGGAGAATGATTCGAAGGGCGTGGTTCAGGTACAGATGGTAGCCACCTGGAGTTGGATAGAGTTGGAGAGAGGTGGTTGAAATCTGGAGATATTCAGGACCTACCAAGTAATAGGCAGGGGTTAGCATGGGTCCAGGTTGATATTCAGGTTTTCAGTGGATGGTGGGGCTATAACAGAGAGGAAATGTGAAAGGAAGTGCAGATCTATTAGGGGCAAGGAGGAGTGTGTGGTGAGCTCGGTTTTGGAAATACTGAGTTTGAGGTGTCAATTGGAGGTGTTGAATAGACAGATGGATCTGTTGATCTGGAGTTCAGGCACGAGATCCAGGTTGGAGGGAAGAGATTGGGAAGTATCAGCCTAAGTGAGTTCATTAAAGCCAGAAGATGGTATGAGGCTCTCCAGGGGAGAAAAAGAGGACTTTGCCGACCCCTTATGGTACATTAGAGGAGGGGAGAGTGTTGGAAGGAAACTGAGATGAAACTGCCCAAGAAGAAGAAAGAAAACCAGAACAGCAGGCCTCAGTAACCAGTCCCTGTTTACTTGCATTTATTCTTTCATAGGGATGGGGTCTCACTCCATCACCCAGGCTGGAGTACATTGGCACCATCATAGCTCAATACGTCCTCAAACTCCTAGGCTCAAGTGATCCTTTTGACTTAGTCTGCCAAGAGCTGGGACTATAGGTACACAACCACACCCAGCTAATTTTTTTTTTAAACTTGTATTTTTGAGATGGAGTCTTGCTGTGTTGCCCAGGCTGGTCTGGGAGTTCTTTCCTCTAGTTATCTTCCTGCTTCAACCTCCTGAGTAGGTGGGATTATAGGCGTGTGCCTCCTTGCTTGGCTTAGTGGCTTATTCTATTTATTTATTTATTTTGCTTGCTTCGACTTTTTTTTTTCCTACTATGGTTTCTTCTTCCTGTAATTTTCTTCCTCATGCACCAGGTCTGTCTATAACGCCTAGAGTCAGCTTCTTGAAGAACTATGGTTTGTTTATTTATTTATTTATTTTGAGACGGAGTCTCACTCTGTCGCCCAGGCTGGAGTGCAGTGGCGCAATCTCAACTCACTGTAAGCGCCACCTCCTGGGTTCACACCATTCTTCTGCCTCAGCCTCCTGAGTAGCTGGGACTACAGGTGCCTGCCACCATGCCCGGCTAATTTTTTTGTATTTTTAGTAGAGATGGGGTTTCACCGTGTTAGCCAGGATGGTCTCGATCTCCTGACCTCGTAATCCACCCGTTTCGGCCTCCCAGAGTGCTGGGATTACAGGCATGAGCCACCGCGCCCGGCCTCGGTTTATTTTTATACCAGGTGTGGAATGTGTTCAGTAAATACAGGGAGAACTGAACCCACAGGCATTGCCTTCCTTCTGTTAATAAGTCCAGAGAAATTGCCATCCATTATTAGAAGTTATCAGTCTCAGGGAACTGGTAACTTTATATAGCTGTGGGTATATTTTGAGCCTGATTTTTACCAGAAGAGGAAACAGGCATGGTCCCTAGAAAATGTTTTGCCCTTGGAGAGTCTGTTCCACAGTTTCTGACATTTAGTAACAGTCAATGGTAGAAAATTTGTATAGCAAACTTTTCCTTTGAAAGCTCCAGAAGCTCTGCTCTGTAGCATATAAACAGATGGCTCAGGCGTCAGGCCTAATCTTACCAAATGACTGTTCAGAAATAATCTGAGTGGGGTCACACCTGTTTCTAGTTTGTACATATAGTCTCTGATTCATACCAAGAAATATCAGTATGTTGGTTTCTTGCACTATTCTCTCACCAAGCAAATATGGAATTATATCTTATAGATTTGGGTGAAAAACTTTGTTACTGTCCAAATATAAATGGAGGGAAAAGTCTTTCCTCTTGCTTAACTGAATACCATTTCACTTCTATAATGACAATTTTTTTTTTTGAGATGGAGTTTCACTCTTACTGCCCAGGCTAGAGTGCAATGGTGTGATCTCAGTTCACTGCAACCTCTGCCTCCCAGGTCCAAGCGGTTCTTCTGCCTCAGCCTCACCAGTAGCTGGGATTACAGGTGCCTACCACCACGCCTGGCTAATTTTTTTTTTTTTTTTTTTTAAGTAGAGACGGGGTTTTATTATGTTGGCCAGGCTGGTCTCGAACTCCTGACCTCACATGATCTGTTCACCTTGGCCTCCCAAAGTGCTGGGATTACAGGAGTGAGCCACCGTGCACGGCCCTATAATGACAGTTACAAGGGCAGCACAATAATATTATTATAACACTATACCCAAGGGTTTCAGCTATATCAGTAGTGTTTCTTACACTGGGTGTATGGGTTTTTTTTTTTTTGTTTGTATTTTTAGTCTTCATATTTTTACAAGTGTCTAAGATATATTAAATTAAAAGCAACATGGTTAATATACATATATCCAATATAGTTAACTTAGGTTGCTAACTTTCTTCTCAATTCACCATATTTGAACTGCAGAAAGTAACTTTTAAAAATGGGAAAATGAATGATCCCCTTAGGAAAATGTTGCTGTTCATTATAGCAATAGTTTCTCAAAGCTGTTGGAATTCCCTGCCTATCATTCTTCTGAGTTTCAAAACATTTTTTCAAGAGAGTCTTTGAGTCCTTATGGAGTTTAAGGGGAGCTAGAAAATTCTCTCAAATTTTAAAAGTATTTGCTGAAAAGTATATGCTGAAGGAGGTGGCTTGAAGAAGGTGGTGAGACAAGAGGGTGCCACCTGGGCATGGCCACTGCCTGGGGCATCACCTTGATGGAATCAGCACAGTCCAGAGTGCAAGAGCCAGGCTCAAAAATCTCATGTCATGGGAAGATCTGATTTAATCTAGCTCACTGAGAATGATGTGCAAAACCAGGACCCAAGTTTAGTAATTTATAAGCAGTAAGGAACTGCCAAGGGTCCCAGGTATGTGTACCCACTGCCCAGGCTAAGATTTTCCTATAGTTAGGGCACATGGGAGCCAGAACAAACCAGAAGTTTCATGGTGA